ATCTTTTGACTGACAGAGTCAGAAACCATGGTGACAGCTCAAAGATGGGGGTTGATCATGTTGTGTTGAATGTGTGTTCTTTTCTACAGTCCTGGCAATAATCTAGTCTTCTGCATCAGGCTCCTGAAAGAGCTCGCTCTGCCTCTTCCAAGTCTCTAATTCAAGGGTATCGACTCATAATTTTTCTCATTCTGGTACACCACATTTTACAAATTCAGGTCTGTTCCAATTTCACTGTTAGCCATGGCTAAACCAGTTCAGATTGGTTCAAAGCCCTGCTAACAAGCAATCCAATTAGAAAACTTTTTCTTCCCCTCCTAAAGAACTGGGTGGTGCACAGATTTCACTACTGAATGTTTTAATCACCAATTCTACAGAAAAATCTTGATCAAGAGGGGGATAATGCAAAACAGAATTCCAAATTCACATGAAATCCAGATTTTCTGAAGCCATTGAGATTGGACAAATTACAGAAACTACTCCCTTGAAATCATCTTTAAACCTTAAACCAAAAATATCCCCTGAAGTATTCTTTTTTTTTTTTTCTTTTCTTCTCTTTTTGAAGTATTCTTTAAACTAGACAATAACATAACTAGGAAAGTTTGTTTGCCTTGATTATTGTGTTCTTTCAAGAACTAGCTATATGGGACCAAACTGACAACATGAACTCATAAGATTAGACAGGAAACCGAGGAGACAGTGAGTTTGTGTTAATGAGGGAGGAACAACTCCAAAAAGGTGGGGGAGAATGGTTGCACAGCTTAAAAATGTAGTTAATGTCACTGAATTGTACATGAAGAAATTGAATTATATACTTTCTGCTGTGTATATTCTCAACAACAACAAAAATAAATAAAATAAATTTAAAAAATAATTTTTTTTTCTGCTTGCTGCTCCAGTGTAGACGTGTATCTTATATGACTCCCTGGACTTGTGGGAGTCTGAGAAATGCCCCCGCTGAGGGCCCAAGAGTGAGTCAGTGGTTCATGCACCCCCAAAGGTGACATCATTTGCTCTCCTATCATCTGCTCTGGTCCCCATCACGCTTCTGAAACTACTTGTTCAAACATCACCCACAGTGCCTGCTTTACGGGTAGGTGTCTTGTGCAGTCAGTCACACAGCACCCTGAGTTTGGTTTAAAGCTTTGCTGTCACCATCTTGAATTCTTAAGTGTTTGAATAAGGAGTCCAGCATTTTCATTTCACACTGGACCCCACAAATTATGTGTCCAATCCTCGTCACGCAAAATCTCTTAATGCGGCACCATTTTCTTTCTCAGAAATGTCCCTAGAGCATATGACTTCAGCGTCCCTTGTGAAGGTCCTCCCTGGTCTCTGTGACGCCCAGTCTCCCGTTCACCTCTAGCTCTCTAACTGAGTGGAAGTGATACAACATCTGAAGCAACATTGTGGATGGATGTCCTAAAGGGTCAAAAGGCAAGGAATACAAGGTATTGGTGAAGGTGGTATAGAGGAAGGGGAAGGGTCCACAGGTGGTAAAAGGTGATTTTGAGAAGGAGTCAGGAAATGGGCCCTGATTCCCTCTCTAGTTATCAGTTTACCTTTGTGAAAATAAAGAGTTTGGACTAGGTAGTCTCAAAGATTAGTTCCAGCTCTGTCCTCCTTTGAGGTTCTAAGTTCTAGCACCAAACTGGAGAAGATACATGTAGGAAGGTAAGGTGTCACCAGAGGCTGAGTTATGTTGTGGCCAAAGCAGCCTTTGGTGGTGGTGGCTGTGTGCTGTGGAGTCGGTTCTGACTCATAGCGACCCTGTACAGGGTTTCCGAGGCTGTAAATCTTTACAGGAGCAGAACGCCTCATCTTTCTCCCACAGAATAGCTGGTAGTTTCGAACTGCTGACCTTGCGGCTCACAGCCCGATTCGTAACCACTACGCTACCAGAGCTCCTTAAGCAACCTTTGGCTGGGGCTAAAAGTCAAGAGAGTGGGTGTGTATGGTATCAGATGAGTCATTCACACTGGTATTAGCATCAGGGATTCCTTGTCATCCCTGCTCCTACTAAGCATAAGAGATGGGGTAGATAGAAAAAACCTGCCCTGTCTCCAAGGAACCTGACCTGTCCCAGAGGACATCTGGGTTAATGTTAATATAGTCCATAAAGATAATGTTCTACATTCTAATTTGATGAGTAGCATCTAGAGTCTTAAAGTTTGTGAGCAGTCAGCTGAGATACCCTTATTGGTCTCTTTCTGTCTGGAGCAAAGAAAAGTGAAGGAAACCAAAGATTCAAGGAAGCAATTAGTCTATAGGTCTAATGGCCCACATGAACCACATCCTTCTCTGGCCTGAGACCAGAAGAACTAGATGGTGCCCAGCTGCCACTACCAACTACTCTAACCACGGACACAATAGAAGGTCCTGGTGGGAATGGGAGAAAAATGTAGAACTCAAATTTCTCAAAAAGACCAATCTTACTGGGCTGATGGAGACTAGAGGAACCCCCTAAGACTATTGCCCTACAACTCTTCTAACCTGAAACTGAAGTCACCTTTCAGGCAAATAATAGATTGGCCTATAAAGCAAACAATAACACCGGAAAGGAATGTGCTCCTTTAAACAATTAACTATGCAAGACCAAAATGGCAACATTTGCCTAAAAGGCAAAATGAGAAGGCAAGGACAGGCAGAGACACTGGAGCGTTGGCGATGGGAAAGGCACGGTGGAATTAGGGAGAGTAAACTGACACATGGCAGGAATAGCATCAATGCCACAAAACAATCCTGTATTAACTGTTGAATGGGAAACTAATTTTCTGTGTAAACTTTTACCTAAAACACAATAAAATGCTCAAAAAATAAAACGTAACCTGGGTGCTGAAATCCAGGAAGAAGGTCAAAGAATATTCTGGAAAAAGTAATCTTTATTGCTGTTGTTAAATGCCAGGGAGTTGTTATGAGTTGTCGTGACCCTGTAAGGTTTCTGAGGCTTTAAATTTTTACGGAAAGTCTCATCATTCTCCCTCAGAGCAACTGGTGAACTTGAACTGCCAACTTGGTGGTTATCAATCTAGTGCTTATGCTGCAGAGCCACAGCGCTCTAACAGTAACAAGAGCACTTCACAAAGTCCCTTTATATCCACTCACCCGTCCAACCTTGCATCAGCATGCTCACTTGCAAAGGCAGACAGGCAGACTCAGAGGAATTTGCTGACATGTGCAGTCACACACCCTCTGCCTTCAAATCCTTCCTTTCCACTACCCAGTTAGCATTAGAGGAGTGTTGGACAATGATAGGATGAGGAGGCTCTGGATAATAAGTTGTCTAAGCCCCTCTTAGCTCCTAGGCATGTGGGAGCGTTCAGTGTGCCACCTTGGGAGTGAGCCAGAGCCACTTCCAACCCAGAACATAAAAGCTGTGGGAAAACTCAGACTCCAGGCCCATTGAAGAACCTGTTTTGCTGTTGTTGTTATGTGCCATCTGGTCAGTTCGGACTTATAGTGATACTATGCACAACAGAAGGAAACACTGCCCCATCCTGGGCCATCCATTGTCACTGCAACTGTGTAAATCCATCTCATGGGGGGTGAGGGGAGGTTTCCTCTTTTTCACTGTCCCTTCCTTTACAAAGTGTGATGTCCTCCTGACAAAATGCCCTAAGTACTTCTAGGGCCATCTCTCAACACTGCAGAGAGCAAACAAAAGTTACACCATAGAGCCCCTGGCAGGCAAGAGGACTGGGTACCAAGCGAGGAGAGGAGGTCCTTCAGAGACACGTTTTCTAAGGCAGGTTGAGGATAGTTTGCTCACTATTGAAGAAAGTGAGAAAGGGCACAGTGGAAAGACAAAGGAGAATGTGGGGAGGGATAGGGTCCGGGAGAAAGATTGCTGGAGGCAATGGATTCGAGATAGGGTCCACCCCAATTCTGCCCTCAAAGCCTGCCAAGCAAAGACCCTTTATTTAGCTCAACAAGGCTCTGGACAAGGGAGAGAGGTACTGGGGAGTCAGAGTCTCAGCCCAGCTGGGGAGATGGATGATGGAAAATGTCACACCAGGGTCTTGAGAGGGAATTAATTCAGCATGGTCTCCCCAAAGCAGAGAGATATCAGGGCTCAGGATCTGTCTCTTCTCTTGGTATTGCCTGGCCAGGTCATGGCTCAGGTATCTGACACCTGGGGCCCAGAGTCACATGCCAGGAAACCCAACACTCTTGGGCCCCAACTTCCATCAGCCACCATGAAGCAGGTCTTCTAGAGAAGGAAGCGGGTCTCCAGCGCTGAGCATCAGGGAGGATACTTCAGGAGAAGGCTGTCCTGTCAACAGGGGTGAGAGGCTTACAAGAGGAGCAAGAGGATGAGGGAGGAAGACTGAGACAGGGGAAAATGAGGCAAGCAGAGGGGTGGAGGCTCCAGGAAAAGGTGGGACCTAAGGCACATCTTGTCTAGTCATCTAGACTAATTGGATGCCCTAAAGTCCTATTGCTGTCCTCCTTCTCTCCTTTACACTACTGCCCACCCGGCAATCATCCAATTAGGCTGGAGAAAAATTTTACTCCAATGAGGGCCATCAACACATGGGAAGGCAAAAACTTAAAAACTCCCAGACTCAGAATGGCCAATAGGATCTTGGGCAACAGGCTAAGCAACTTCATAAATTAATCTTACTGAACCAAAGAGACCCCAAAAGGGTCTCAAGCCCAGGGGGTACATTTATAAAGGACCCTACTGAGGAGCCCTGGTGTGGCGCTACAGGTTAAAGCACTGGACTGCAAAGTCAGCAGTTCAAACTCACGAGTTGCTCCTTGGAAACCCATTGCAAGGTCGCTATGAGTCAGAACGGACTCGACAGCACTTAGAAACAACAACACTGAGGAGCCCTGGGCCAAAAGAAGAAACCAAGAAAGTCACTAAGGCAGGCGAGAACCCCCAAAGGAGGGGTCCCGCCAAAGAGACCCCAGAGAGGGATCTCAGAAAGGGAGACCTGCAGTGAGGAATGGGATTTTCTACTCACTCTTCCTTTATGGGGTCTTTTCTTCTCCAGATCTGACTCCACTCCAGGACTATGCCAACCTGTGACCATGCTCCGACTAGCCAGGCGCCTCCTGTCCCTTCTGCTGGTGATAAATGCAGGGAGTCCCATGCCCAGCCCCCAGACACTTCCTCAGGGCTGCTACCTGGCAGAGGAAGCTGGTGAGCGGACGTTCCGCTGCAGCCAGGCAGGCCTGAATGCTGTGCCCGCTGGCATCCCCAATGACACCCGCAAACTCTACCTGGATGCCAACCATCTGGAATCAGTGCCAGCTGGTGCCTTCCATCACCTGCCTGTCCTGGAGGAGCTGGATCTGTCTCATAATGCCCTTGTCCTCCTCTCAGGGGCTGCTTTCCAGGGCCTGGCACACACTTTGCACCACCTCGACCTCTCTGCCAACCAGCTGGCCTCAGTGCCTGTAGAGGCCTTCATGGGGCTGCAGATCCAAGTGAACCTGTCTGCCAACCCATGGCGCTGTGACTGTGCCCTCCTGGAGGTGATCAGGAGGGTGAGGCTGGCACCAGGCACAGGGATGGGCATTGTGTGTGGTCCAGGAGCCCGACCAGATCTTGTGGGACAGGAGTTCCTGCCACTGGCAGGAGAGGAAGAGCTCTGTGGGACAGGGCGAGGTGGGGCCCAGAGGAACACTGATGTGGCCCTGTTGGTCACCATGGGAGGCTGGCTGGCACTAGTGGTGGTCTATCTAATCCACTACATGCGGCAGAACCGAGATGAGATCCGGCGCCCTTTCACGCAGGCTCCAGACCTGCCTGTGCGCGCTGAGGGGTCTTCTACTCTCAGCACAGCTGTCTGATGACCAGGGAGAGCATTCTGCCTTGCCCCTCACCCTGCACTCCTATCCTATGCCCTCTCCTTTCTTCTGAAGTCTCACCCCAACCCCCAAATCCCATCCCACCCCTACCCTTCTCTCTATCCCTCAACCAACTTCATCTGTGCCTGGATTGTGCTAGATACAGAACCCAAAGCTCTGGAGTCCACATTCCTGGGGGGATGGCAGAACAGAGAATGGCAGTATGTGTGCCAACCAGGAGGAAGAAGCAAGTAGCTGTGGCAGACTGAGGAGAAAGCCTTTACCCAGCTGAGGGTGACCTCTGAGCTTTCGCATTATAGCTGTTTGAACTGACTCTTAAAGACTAAAGAGAACTTTGGACCGAAAAGGAGAAGAACTCAAGATGGAAGGTCATGTGCAAAGGCAAGGAAGATGTAAAACAATTCAAAATGGCTGGCCATTGGCAATGGTGAGAGGATGCTGATGCTGAGCTGGAGGTAAAACCTGAAAGTTGAGGTGCAGCTGTGTGGGTGCCTCCTCCCTTCTCCTCCATCCTGCTGCCTCTACTGAGAACAACCACACCCTCTCTTGTCCGCCCCGCTCTCTCCTGGAGCCCTCTATTGGAGACCCACTAGATCAGGGCTCCCTGTTTCCTTTTCTGGAGAGTCTCCATTCTCTGTCTTCTTTATACATTTGAACAGATTCCTGAACTCCTATCCCTTGAAGGAAAAATGATCTACTCTATTACTGATCTGGGAATAGGTGACCAGAGAGAGGGTCTAGGAGGTGTCCTGCCCTAAGAACACTGCTAACAACTGAATAAAATTGCTTGTATGAACTTCTCTGATCTCTTTCTTATTCAGTTTACTGGACTTGTATAGGTTGGCAGCAAAAAAGGGTAGGAAGGGTGTTGAGCTCTCCATCACCCCCGGGTGGGGGAATGCTCCTGCTGGACTAGATGCCGGTTCCTCTCTCTCCTTCTGCCTCCCAGCTCCTGACACTAGAGCCCATCTGCCGAGGAAGCCAGGCCCTATGAATTATGGAACGGGAAGGGAGGGGAATTTGGTGGGAGGGCAGCATCAGGACATCAGTCACCAAGCCCCCGAGGCCTAGCCCAGGCAGCCTCTCTAGGACCTGCCATCGCAGGAGAGTGAGGTAGGAACAAGGAGAAACTGCTTTTAATCTCAGTGGGAGGCTGAACCAACCGGGTACAGGAAGAAACCAGATGTGTTCAAAGTTAATAGAAGAGTTCCAGAGTAGGGAGACTAAGTTGGCTGAGGGAAAAGGTTGTGGATAATACCTCTATTCTCAAATTGACTTCTCAAGGGACCCAAGACGTAAACATACCCTGTTGTTGCTGGTTTTGCCATCAAGTTGGTTCCAACTCATAGTGACACTGTATACAGTTTCTGAGGAGCAGCTGGTAGGTTTGAACCTCCAAGCTTGTGGTTTAAAGTCCACTGCTTATCCTCTAAAGTCACCCCGAAGTCCAAACACACTCTATCCGCTGCATTTATGTCGGATGATCCACCCACTTGGGATCCATGAAAAAGAGCTGTCTGGGGGAAACTTGTAGGAGCCCCAATAGAAACTGAAGATAAGAACCACTGAACCAGGGTTCCACCTAGTCTGGGCAGAGATCTGTGGGTGGCCACCCAAGGAGTGGCAGAGAAGAATCCATTGCCTCCCCCTGGTCTTTCAGCTCCATCCTGCCTTCTTGTCTTCTTTCTGGGCCACCCAAACGTCTACAGATTCCCTCTGTGATCCCTGAAGCTCCCCTCCCCATATCACTCCAAGTGTAAGCCCCATATTGACCCAGTTCAGAAAAACCTGGGACCCAAGCGTCTTTTCGGTAGAGTCATAGTCCTCCCACCTCCAGGCATGCTCGGGGTGTGTGTTGCAGCTTTGACACCCCACCACCACCACCACCACACCCTGCCCTGGGACTTGGAGTGCTGGCCCCATCCCTATCAAAGTCACCATCAGTCCCTCCCCAGCCACTCTCAGGTCTGTCCCACTCTCTGCTCTCCCACCCTCTACTGGAATCAGGTTGAGACACATCTCAATGGGTTCTGGGAAGTAGACTATGTAGACAGACCAGTGGGGGGTGGGAGGGTGGGGACAGGAGGCGGCCCCTGTCTCTGTCACTGGTGCCCATTTCTAGAGCCTCATTGGACTGTCTGTCATCTGAACAGCAGAGGTCGTGTCTGTGGGTCTACGCTTCCCCTACAGCCCCAGCTCTCAGAGGTAAGCTCAGAGCACGAAAGGTTCCAGGCAGCTTAGCTTTGGCTGTACTTCAGATGGGGAGGGATCCTGGAGTCTGGATAGTAAACACTCCAGTAGTTACCCCATGGCCTTCCTCGCTCAGAAGGGCAAGGGGAAGTGGTGGGGAAGATGCTCCACTGACCCCCCACTGTCTGGAAAGAGACCCCTTCACACTAGCCAGCTGGACTCTGAGTCAGAATGTGGTGGGAGGAGGGGGTCAGAAGCTGTAGCTACAGTTCAGCTATCATAGAAGACTGGAGAGAGCTGGACCCCCAGACTCCCACCTGCCCAGTTCCCGAACCTAAGCAATCCCTCAGCATACTGCTTACTGGGTTAGCAGGAGCAGGGTGGCCTAAGTAGCTTCAATCCTATCCTCAACTCTGCCAGGGACCAGAAATCATGGGACCAGTGTTCCAAGATGCCACCCGGGCCCTGGTGAGGCAACTGGATCCAGTTGGCGACCTCATCCCACTGACGGGCCTCATTGATGCTGCCCGGTTCCAGCCCTTCTGTCTGGTTCGGCGTAAGAGAAAGGGTACACTCTTCTGGGGAATGCAGTACATCAAGACCGACTTCTCCCTCCGGGATGTGCTGGAGCCAGGACCCAAACTACCAGGTACTGAAAGAGAGTCAGGTCAGGTGCCTGCTCTGGCTCTGAGGCAAGAGTCCCTAAGAATCCGGGAAGCCTAGTGACAAGCCCCAGTTTGTCATCCACATGCAGCATCCCATAGCTAGTGGTCTGTGGGTGGGGGTGGGAGGAGAGACGTCCCTCAGCCTTTTCACCAGAGTCTCTTTTGGCCCAGTGGAGCAGAGGCCAGGGTGGCGGGGAAAGTAGACACAGTCCTTGGGAAGTCGCCTGCCTGAGGAGGGATATGTGAATCTAGCTCTCAGGGTACTTCCAGTCTGAGAGGGGAGACGTGAATCTAGCTTTCAAGGAATGCCTTGACTATTGGAAGAAGTCAGATCCTTTCTCTTTGGGGACTTCCCAGCAGGATGAGACCAAGACATCCCCCAAACACAGACTTCAGCTCCTACGAAGCCCACCATCTACTAGAATCCACTGCCATTGAGTCGATTTGACTCATAATGTCCTGACACAGGGTTTCAGAGGCTGTAAATCTTTAGGGGAGCAGAAAGCCTCATCTTTCTCCCATATAGTGGCTGGTGGGTTTAAACTTCACACCTTGTAGTTGGTAGTCCAGTGCTTATCCTACAGCACCACCAGTGCTCTTTTTTGTTGCTGTTCTAAGTGTGTCAAGTCAGTTCCAACTCATAGCAACACTGTCTGTATAGGGTTTCTGAGGAGCGACCGGTGAGTTCGAACCACTGACCTTGAGGTTAGCAGTCCTTAGTTTATCCTACAGCATCACATCAGGACTCCTTATTTACTAAAGGAGAGAATACAGACTAAACTGAGTAGACTGGAACTGAGAGAGGCAGTTAAGGACTGCACCCCCTTTCTTGTCTTGAGTTCTCTGCAGGTGAAATGCCCCACAATATTGATTGTGGGGCATCCCAGATTGAAGGGATGTCAGCCTCCTAACCAGATGCAGTTAAATCAGCTGATTCCAAGGTCAGGAACTGTTTTCCTCATTAGACTAAAGAAAATTCAAACTAGAAACAGTTTTCCCTCATATCTGTGGGTCTCACCTGCCTCTGAGGGAGGTTGTCCCAAGCCAGGAATGCAGAAAACAAACAAAACAGAGCCTCAAGCTGTCAAAATGGATACCTCCACAAGCCTACCCAGGCATTAGATAAACATTTGTGTTGTTACTGTGTGCCAGGCACTGGGCATATAAGGATAAGAAAGCCAGGGCACCCACCCTTAAGGACCCACTAGTGTAACAGTGATGACAGCCCAGGATGACAAAAGTGTGCATGGAGGGGCATCTCAATCAAGCACTGACTAAGGCTCATGGGCTCTGCTCACTCAGCGCACATTTATTCATTTGACACATAATTCGAATAGTTTGGGAACTGGTTTCTCCCTGTACAACAGACTTGAAGAGGTACATTGGAAGTGAAAAAAGGTATATTAAAGTATATTTTAAAAGGTATATTAAAGTATATTTTAAAAGGTATATTAAAGTATATTAAAGTCATAATATAATGAACTGATAGCAGGAAGGGATGTAAAGTATTTATAAGAACTCCAAAGCATCTCAGTAGGGTCATTTAGTGTATCCTCAATGGTCCTACATGGACAAGTCCACCTTGAAAGCACCTATGGGTACTGACAAAATAGGGTGTATTTATCACACTGAGTTACCTGAAGCAGGTGACACATTTAACAGAGAGTTTCCATCCTAGCAGAGCAGAGGTATACAATGAAAAATGACTGTTAGAAAATGCTCACTATACCTTGTCTACCCCCTTGTTCTTCTTCCCACTGATCTAAGATTTGGGGTTATGCAGAGCAAGGCCAATCTTTTTTGGGCACAATAGTCTTTGGACATTGAAGATGGTTCTGGAGCCTTTATTACTTGGGGTCAGCACATCATAGTTGAGCTCTACCCTGTTCCTCTGTCCCCTTTTATGTCTCCAGCATGACCACACACACATCTGCCTGTGGAGTTGTATCTTTTCCAGGTCACAAAGCTCATTTCTGCATATATGCGAATTAACATCTTCTAAAGAACATTAAAAACACTTAAGTCCCCACAGAAATACTCATGTCTGAGGTCAACTCTCAATTCACATTCCCTTTGGGTCAAGGGCAATTTATCATGCAGAATCCACTTGCAAGGTATGTGTGGTAT